GACACAGGAGTGATATTAAACATACAGTTTCCTACTACTAGTATTACAGATCGATGATCTTCAAATAATCAATAAGATTTCAGTTCGATCTGTGTGTTACGATTGACACTAGTAGATAAATGATTGATGAGGGGATACGTGCAATGGACTGACACAATGAGTGTCAATTTTCTACATCATCTTGTACAAGATGCAATGAATTCTGTATAAATTCCTCGTTTCTATTTTCACCTGACGATATCATACAACGTCAATTTTTCATGAAACTAATTAACATTGCAACAAATTCATAACATATTCTTTCTGCACAACTGAAAATGTTTTACATAAATAAAATCTAACATTTATCAAATTAAACATATCTATAACAAAAATTTGAGAAAAAATCAATGTAATGAGGACTTTGGTTTAACATGCTAAATTTAATCACCACAATTACCTAAATACATGTACCAGTCGCCGGCGTAATGATTTCCCCTTTTCTTCCATTCATAGTATTAATGTTATTGCAACTTACTACTCAGCATGAAACCTTATTTCCTTAATTAACGAAATTAAATGTAATATATTTTCAATTCAGTTCTTTGAAAGATAAATTACTCATGAATAAAATCAGTATAAATGAAAAAGATGAAACACAATTTAGACACTTGGAAGATGCTCAGCAGAAGAATTTGGAAATTGTCAAGTCATGTTTTCTCCCCCCCCCCCCCCCACTAAATATATCATCTAATATACCACAGTTTAATTGTGTGGTTTACCTTTGAAGGTACACGTAGAAAGAGGGCGATATCGTGGAAACGATAACTGAGAACCTGCGAATTCTGAGACAGGAATGAACTAGAGAAGACCTTTAGCAAACCGTGGGAATTTTAAATGTATTTAATTTACCACTGGACAATCTACTTTAAAATCTCGTTTGCAACTTTCCAATACAAACTACAATCTTACAAATTACGCCAAAGAAAATTTTCACGCATGTTCTAAATACTTTCAAAAACAGTGACTTATAGGTCTAGTGCGCCGAGTGTTCATATTATCACTGTGCCTAATGAAAGGGATTATGCATTTTGTTTTGGTTGTTTGTTGTTTAACGTCCCTTCAAAATATTTCCACTAATATTTAGACTCCACCACTTGCTGGCTGAGGACTGTAAATTTGGACATATGCTCGGCACTTGCGGCCGTAGAGTAGAGAAGGATCTTTTTCGTGCCAGCACCTACTGTGACACGGGACCTCGGTTTATAAGGTCTCATCCGAAGGACCGGTTTCCATGTCCCGCAGTGGGATTCGAACCCACGACGAAGGATCGACTCCTTGCTCCTCCAGAGAGAACGCTCTGACCACTAACCACGCGGGCGGCATGCATTTTGTATTATTGTAACATATATCATTATTATAAGAAATGATCTTCCTACTTATAAATATATGTACAAGTTTAATGTGTACATTTTTAGAGCTACAAATTTATTTCAATCTCAACACTGAGAGGTTTCTAGAAAGCTATGCTTTGATGGATTTATGATTTACGTCGGACTGTAAATTTTGAGTAACAATTTTATATTTTAATCATTTTTATTATAAATTGCAATGAAACCGACCAAGAATGAAAATACCTGCATGATATGTAATTTGAGGGTTTTGCACGAGAATCTAGATTGCGCAATGTTGTAAATATTCTTTTCCTTCAAAATACTTATATCATGATGTATATCAATTCCACTGTGGTACAGATATTTAGTTTACTATTATTTGACAAAGAAGGAACAATTTCTTAAGCGATCTATAAAATAATTAACAAATGGCTACATTTTATGATTTTTATTTTTTTTTTACGATTAAAGTTTCCACAAGGAACTATTTGAGGGTTTGAAGTTTATAATTACATAATTATATATCAGGTTACATTCCTATATTCCTGTGAACGATTACAATTCATTCAAGGATTATCATTCCAGTCATGCTTTAATGCATAATCTGATAAGCAAATAAAATGTCCCAAAATTACCTTAGAAATAGGTGAACCCAAAACAGAATCATTTCAATACCTAAAACATAAATGTCCTTGGATTATACATCTTTATTGTTTCATTGGTTGTTTTCTGCACGTCGTGGAAATCCTGTTTTTTGGTCTGTGTTTGTTTTTTATTCTTTTGGAATGTATATTTCGTTTTCCCCTTACGTTGACCGAATTCCTCTGCAACTTGATCTGGCCAATCATGTTGTCTTGTGCCATGTACATGTACATGTAAGCCGGTCAATTTCTTCAGTAATATTCAGAAAAAAAACTTGTTGGCAGAAAAGGGTTGTCATTTGATAAAATCCAAAATATCATAGTCATATACTTATATATTATTACGATAAATGCATAGAGATAAATTTATTAGTTTAAGCATTTTTTTCCAACGATCAACTTCTGCGCATGCATTAATGCAAGACTAATGTGATGCTTGATTTATTGATTATGTCCCATTCTAGATTTTTTTCACTCGTGTAGAGATGTCATAATATACCGGTGAAGGGCTTCAAATTTAGACCTATGCCATGTTCACACGGAGAGTTGAATTTGAATTAATTTTCAGTTACTACAAATTAAATTTGAACCGCGTTCAAACAGAATTTAATGCGAATAAATTTAATGCGCATCATATTACTTTGCAAAAGCTCCGTGTGAACGCTAAGGGAAGCTATTTCGAATTAAATTCTGACGCATGCGTAATTGCAAACTTAAGCTACATGTACCTGCCACGTGTCGGTGGTCAGATATCAGTACTTCTGCTTTTTTTGAGTTGAAAAACTAAGAAAAATTAAGTTTATCACTAAACATCCGTACAGACACTATGATAATTATGTCAAATGTAATCTGCTGTGCGTAAGGTGACATGATTTGCAAATGACGTCATAATAGCCTTGCAATTTACTTCGCATTAGTTTAAATCGCATTGTTTTATTTCGCATTAATTTACTGCGTATTAAATATATAATGCGCCTTCATGTGAACAAGGAATTAAACTCGGCACTCAGAGCCCACTAAGCAGTGAGGGATCTTTTTGTGCCAACGCCTGGCGTGGCATGGGGCCTTGGTTTTTAAGGTCGCGTCCGATATACCCGCAACTTTCATCTAAAATTAAGTGTCGAGCAGAACAGTTGCTATCTATTTTTGAGTCAGTTGCGGCCGGACTTTGAACCCACAACCTTCTGATCACGGAGCGAGCGATCTACCCGCTGCGCTACCATGACGGTGTTTGATGCCTGAAGACTGAATCATAATAATTTTCAAAATATTTATTTTTCATTGCAAATTAGAAAAAAAAAATTATGTTGCAATTTAAAAAGCATCAATAATCACAATTTACGAGGAAAACTTTTGATGAATAATAAACTTTGCATTCAAGTTATTTTGTTAACGTTTTAGATGGGGATGACGTCGTAAAAGTTCATGCATCTGAGTGTTTCAAATTCGATAGTTTTATGTACATTGTACAAGTCAGTCGTGTATTATCATACGTGTGTGTTCCCTATTAAAATATTTATAACATGACTGGTTCTACAGATTTTGGAGATAATTTTGTATTATTAACTTAAAACAGAATTCCGCCAAAACATATGGTATGGATATATTGTATGGGAATTTTGACGCTTACAAATTGCAGTACACAAATAACTAAACTCTTTAGACAGGCAAAAGATCGTAAATGTTATCATTGTGGCGTGGTTATTATCTCCACATGTTTCATTATGCTAATCAAGTATATTGCAATAATTAGGTGTCTTTGCATTTTTATTAACTTGAGAGTATGAATCACGCGCACCTTTGATGCTTTTTATGCAGATGATGAGTAACTAATTTTTTCATGCATAATCTTAATTTTATAGACGTCTTGTCCCTTATTTACATTGCAAAAGAACACCTGCAAATTTGGCCTTAATAGTCATGTAACTAAATTTCGCAGAATTAAATTTGAAGTTTGCACTTTTAAAAAGCCTGTAATAAAATCTAGGACTGTACGGTTATCTTCTTTAAAATTGAGTTTGCAGAAAAGTATTAATTGGTCTTATTTTTTTGCATAACCGAATAGACGAAATCTTATTTTCAAACCGAATGAAAATACTGCTTTATTTTTTTTATTTCTTAGTCGATTTGAAATTCATAATATAATTTGTTTCACTTTTTTTTCTAATCAGCAGGAATGGTATTGTTGATTGTGCATACATGTAGTTACGGTACTGTTGATGGTGTGTCAAATGAAAACTAGATCGCTTGAATGTTTGCATACTGCACAAAGTCTTGCAAAATTTTTGCACTAATTCTTTACATATTTGCAAAACGGTAAAATTCCTTTTACGTATCATCTGAAATAAAAGAAATTCAATTAAAGTTAATTAACTGATTGAAGCTCAATGCAACCTTGCCAGCGGTATATCGTAAACTTACTCGAAAATCTGCAAGAAGTGCGTCATTATAAAGTCTAACAAAGCATGTGACAACAAAAGCGTAAACATATCACGCGATCCTCTAATTTAAAAGTGTTATTATTATTTCTTTTTCTGGAAAGATCATAAAAGTACATGGCTCATATGTAAACAAAAGAAAAGATACCCACACTATACGTCACATCACGATCATGCTCATGTTAATAAGCTTGTAGTAAGAAAATGCATTGCAACAACTGGAGCGTGTAATAAATTAAAGAAAAACAACTACCGGGTCTTCTAGAACCATTAACACAATAAAGACAAACAGTTATTGAATGTTGAGTCGACCAATCTACAGAGAGGGAGGGCTGAACAAAGGCAATCGTTACGCTTCACAGGACAAGGAACGACGCGCGTGCAGCTATAAAACAGACGGCAGTCTGACATTTTGTATATTACTATCTACCTTAATTCTGGGCAAAGTAAGTACAGATATATGTAGCAAATTTAAAAGAAAATGTCTTAAAATTTTATTTTAGAAATAGACATTGAATTTACTAATAATTTGATTATCCCGTTTGCAGATTTTTCACCATGCTGGAAGAATTACGCCGTGCTCTACATCACCACGTGTCAGGTTCGACGCCAAAAGTGGCGAAAGAGAGTGCAATGGATGAAATTCGCATGGTGCTTAGACTTTTTAGTTCTGTTTATCAGAATGACTTGACAGAATTCAAGTGTTTGTTGAAATCTGGAGTTGATCCAAATGCAACAGATTGTGAAGGAAATTCATTGATGCACATTTTGATCGAAAATGGACTTTTTGACATGGCTGAATCTTTGGTAACTCAAGGTATGTTTCATAACTGTTTGTGCACTCTTAAGCAGATTCCAGCACATAACATTGTCCAGAATGAGTAAAGATAAGAATATAATTCTTTAATTGAAAAATGTGTCAAGAGATATCAATGTCTCATTCTTGTGTTTTAGAAGCATATGACATAAACCAACAAGACCGAAACGGACAAACACCACTAATGCTTGCCGTCATATTGGGCGAGGAAGATATCATTCGACTTTTAGTGCGAGGAGGTAAATATCCATATACTGTGATAAATTCTTACATGTGTTTAATCATGCCCAAATAGAATAACGAACACATATTATACTAGCACTTCTTTAAGATGATCTGTTTGATTTTAGGGGCTGATGTGAACGAAGTTAATAATGCTGGCAAGTCGGCCTTGCTGATTGCTTTGGAAGATGGAAAATTTGAAACAGCAGAGTACCTTATCAAGCATGGCAGCGACGTTAACGTTGTTGATCGTCTAGGCCAGAGTGCCTTATTCCTCATGAATAACACTTCAGACCATAAATGTATCAAGTTGCTGAAGAAACTGATTAAAGCTGGTAAGATGTCAAGAAATGAATCATTTAATTTTACTTAAATGAAGATGTAAAGTTGTAGAACCTTAATCTACCTTCCTTTTATTACCTGAGATGTTTGATAAGCTTTTTTTTTCATTTTTTCCAGGATATTCGTTCGAAAAAGACAGATTCTGGATGAAAGATGATGGATTTGGATGCTCACCGTGTTCCTGTGATAAATCTGTGACAAAACTTTGGAAGAGTTTGGACTGTAGCCGTACTTCTTTAAATAGAAATTTGAGTGTGCACTTTGCTATGAAGATCACAAAAGTTGGATGAAATACAGGGCTCCTTTGGCCCTTCTGCCGTAAAATCTGTGATACTTGGACTGTGATAATGCAATTTTGATGTAAATTAAGAATAAATTACTCAGCTTGTAATGATGATTTAAAAAGTCATTAAAATTTTGAAATTAAAACAAAATCTTGTACAGTTGTTTTAGAGAAGCATCAGTCGACACCTTTAACTGTTTGATGACAATAATTTGCTTTCGTATAAGACATCCACAATAAATGCTGAGAACATTTGTTATCAGATGGTTCTTTGTCAAATAACTTGCTTGCAAACTTATAAGTTGATGCTTAGACTCAGGTACTTTGCTATATGATAAGACTTACACACAGATTTTGTTTAGTTAAAAAAGGTTTTTTTTTCTTAACAAACTTTCTCAGCATTGATTGTGGATGTCTTATAAGAAAGCAAATTATTGTCAAGCTTATTCGAGGGTTGGATACTTGTCAAATGTACATGTAATGTAATTATTCTCTGAAAGACAGATAAAGTATTATAGTAAAAGCTAATGGGTTTAATTATTTGTAATTTAAGAAATATTTTCTTCATAGAAACATTGCAATCAACCATAAGGTGCCATTCATTATTGAAGTTCGAAAAGAAACCTAACAGCTAGGCCAGATTTGACCAAAAGCTTCTAAAACTGACTGGAAAGTTAACTCTCATGACAGTAATCAAACTTGGAACTAAAGAAAAAAAAAATCGCGAAGTAAGAATTTTGTAGTTAAAAAGGATGCTGATGGTCAACCCCGCATGACCCAGATAGTCCGTGCAGACGAACGTCAACAGTAAACATAAAATACATATATGTACAATATGACGTTGATTTCATTGCGTAAAAAACTACTACCTACATTTTGCTCTGACTTTGTAAGGTTTTTTGCATCCTAATATTTTCCCAGCAATTTGACTTTCTGTTTTTAAAATAATTGTATTTGTCATCATACTTGATTAACTTCATTGTTTAATGGACTTTTGAGCTTGAATACTGTTCGTTATCTTATTTCATTCATCAGTTTTGTGCATACAGGTTTATGTGAGATCTCGACAATGACCCTAGTGGAAAACAAAGTACTTACTGTAGATAATAAGATGCATAGGGCCCATACTTGACGCAGAAGAATGACCTAGTTTGACATAAGTAAACAATCCTGTCAAGAAAAGCGCTTAGTTCCAGACACGTGTTCATCAATGTTAGAGGAATGTTGGTATCTTACTCCGTATGCTTTTCTTTAAACTATCAGAACTCTAGAATAGGAGAAACCTTTGCTTTCCTTCTTACTGTTCTTGCCTAGTGTTCCATGATATGATATGATATGGTATAGCGATTGAAGTGCCCATAAAAATCGAAATTATTTCTATATGCTTATTTGGAATATTCTTTAGCGGAGGGGTTTTGCAGATTTTCGCTTTAAATTTTTAATAAAAAGAACATCTGATGGGTATGATAATGTGTGACGAACTATAGCTTTAAACTTAACCCTATTCATTGAAACTTAAAAGTATGGAACGCCAAATTAACATATATTCAAATATTTGAACCTATCTTCAATTAATTATACCTATCTTCAAATCAATTGTACCTATCTCCAAATGAATTAAAGATAGGTTTAATTCAATTATACCTATCTTTAATTCATTTGAAGATAGGTACAATTGATTTGAAGATAGGTACAATTGATATGAAGATAGGTGCAAATGCCATGAATTAAAGATAGGTATAATTGATTTAAAGATAGGTGTAATTGAATTGAACCTATCTTTAATTATAAAGATACTGACAATAACAACTACTCCCCATAAAAATGCACTGTGCAGTTCCCTCCATGTTAAAGTCGCTGTTAGAGGGAGCTTTCATTATTTTCAATAACACAAAACGAATTGAACCTAGTAGGTATAATTGAATTGTACCTATCTTCAAATCGTTTGTGGATATGTTACGATTGTACCTATCTTCAAATCAATTGTACCTATCTTTAAATCAATTGTACCTATCTTTAAATCAATTGTACCTATCTTCAAATGAATTGAAGATAGGTATAATTCAATTGAACCTATCTTTAATTGAATTGAAGATAGGTGTAATTCCATTAAAGATAGGTGTAATTTATTTGAACCTAGGTTTAATTATTTAGAGATAGGTATAATTATTTACACCTATCTTTAATTCAATTGTACCTATCTTTAATTCAATTGTACCTATCTTTAATTCATTTGGAGATAGGTTCAATTATTTGAAGATAGGTTCAAATATTTGAATATATGTTAATTTGGCGTTCCATATAAAAGCTCAAATAAATACACATAAGAACTAATATCAAAAAGAATCTGTTCAGAGGTTGATGAGAATTAATAAATTTGAAAAGTATAGTACATGATAATTGTCAAAATTACATTCAATGCAATAATATATTTTATTGATGAATATTTTTGATTCGTTGTGTACTTGCAATTTACTTCACCAGTGCACACATTATACCCATCGGATCCTTACACCCCCAATGTATGTGGGCAGCCTGTCCCTTGGGGGCCGCAAGATCCTCACCTGGGCAAGAAGAGCCAACCATGCAATAAAGCAGTCAACTTATATCATGATAATCATGTAACTACATACATGTAAAATCGCTTCGACAAAAAAAAAAACGTTGAAAGTCTTATATACTCAATATACAGTAACAGATAAATATATGATAATAAGAGGAAATTTGTATTTTTTTCAAATTGCAGACACTGTATGAAGAAAGTTTTTATATTTTTTCCATTGTGTGAGGAATTTAAACTCTAATAAAGTCAATTCTAGAAGACACAAAAGTTATGCTGAGAAGATTTCCTATTAAAAAAAGAAATGAAATACAAATGATGTACTAGGATCATATAGTTGAAGTACATGTATTAAGCTTCGGTGAAGCTTGTCTACTACAGATGCAGTACCTACACGTGTTCAATACGCCTTATAAACAACACACTGACCTTGTCCTTACTCTAGTTAATACTCCTGTCATATTAATTTCTACCTTATGACTCAACCGCCTAATAGGACAAGAGTGTCATATGCGCAAAATGATAAACATAGTCAACAGTCTCCTATTAATAATTGTACGTCATCATTGCTGTGAAGAAGCGCCTTCCTCTTTGCAATAATTGAAAATTAGGCCGAAGTGAAATTTAGTAATTTTATAAGATAGATACTTTAATTGTACTTTAGAACATTAATCAACTGTTCCTTTCAGGCACTTATATATGATACACATGATATATATACGTAACATTATAATACAGTGTCTGTTGCAATACTTATACATTGCATATTCAAGCAACACACATGTACACTTTCACATATGGGTTAATAAATGCTTTCTAATATTTGATTACTGTTCCTGGGTGTGAAAAGATTATTATTTATATTCAATACAATTTTATCTCTTTTTCATAAAATAGTGAAAAAAGAATGGCAAATATTTTTTTTTTTCTTTCGCGAAGATAACATTTATGGAGAAGAAAAGGATCTCACTTTCAGAAAAACTTTACATTACTTTTTTTATACAACTTATTTGATTTTTTTAAACTAAAAGAAGAATAAAATATAATTCAATGGTGACTCACAGACCCTTAAGATTTCTGTCAAAAGCTGGTCCCTACACAGTATTTTATTTTTGTAGTGTACAGTTTCTTATTTTGAAGCATGGATGGCTTGGATCAACACTCTACCAAACCCATCCAAGCCGCATGTTCAGATACCTTTTGAATCAAGGATACAAACCATTTCATATTTAATCATCATTGTTATCAGTGATTATCATTTTCAACCTTTTCAGCTAATCTTGCACTAGTTTTATCGTGAAGATTGAATGACAAGAAGTCTACCCCATTTTTCAGTTATCAAAACAGCAGTTTTCTCACTGATTTCGAGTACCTATTTAGGAATTTCAATTTAAACGATTTTCATTATTAATTCTTTAATTTCTCAGACTGAATCTCTTTCCCATAAGTCGTAATTGGTAAAACAATCTTAGTCTACTAGAATTTTAAAGTTCATATCTGGTTTATAGTTTACAATCGTCTTCAATGTGTGTTTTAAAATGTGTATATGGCTTTTCTTACTAGAGGGCCTTACAACATGGCTAAATTAATAAGGATTTCAAAATATTATTTCTCTTATTTCAATTTAAATGAAGGCCAATCGCTCATTGAGTGCTATTGCATTCTCTTCTTATTTAAAAAAAAAACAATAACATTGATTTCTTCATTTATTTCACATTAAAGAAAAAAAGTATTCTAGAACATGAAGAAAAAAATTAATACGAGGTCTTCATAGAAAAGGAGTAAAACATCAGAGAATTCGATAACATAATACAGTGATGTACGTCTGTATGTATAAGGTACACAATTTTATTTGATTGAGTTCAGTAATAAAATTGAAAATAGTCAAGGGCTCAATCTTCAACCTTGTCGCACTCCTACGTATACGTTCTGAAGGTATATACTGTAAAATCACTTATTTTCGAGGGGGCGAATTTTCGTGGTCAGAAAAAAAATCATTGTTTCGAGGGGCTATAATTTCGTGGTAAAAGAAGAAACACTATTCTGCAGTATGACTTTTTAACATTTCGGTGAGAGTATAAATCCGTGGGTCTCTTTGTACCACGAAAATTAAACCCCAAGAAAATAATTCATTTCACAGTATGCTTATTTTAAATTTTAATACAACTTTGTTCTCATTTCTACGTAAACCAAGCTTTTCATTTTTTTGTCATGAATGTACCAATTCTATGCAAATTTGGTCATCATCCCTTGAATGAAGCAGGATTCTTTTGCAAATATTAGAAATATATGTCGAAATAGTTTGGTAAATTCGATTCATATACAATAATATAACACACGTATGTTTAAACGAAATGAAATAGATTACTATCTTGAGAAATACCAGGCCCATTATGCAACTTTATAAGGAATCTTTAGGTACAGACGCGTGGGATCATGTATGTTCTTATATTCAATTTAGGAGATCAGACACCTGCACATAGCAAGTCATATTCTAAGGATATCGACATAGAAATACCTATCTTGTCTTTATGCACCTATGATGATCATATCTTCAAACAAAGGTTGGACGTCGTTCTAAGCGTCGATAA